TCCTCTCTTCGACGGGGTTGGGGGACCCGCCGCTAGTTGGCCAGCCCCGGCGGGCTTCGTTCACAGCCCTCCTCCTGGCTCCCTTCTCCCTGCCCCTCCTCTGGCGGGCCGGATATTTGCCTCGCCTTTGTGCTGGTCGCTGCACGCTGGCGGGGGTGGGCTGCTGGGAATTGCCGGAGGAGGGCGAAGGGCCAGGCTCTCCCCTGGGCCGCCTGCCAGCCCTCCGCCAAAGGAAGGGGCCCTCCGCGCCTGCTGCAGGGAGGAGCACAACTAGCAGCTGGAAGCAACTAAGAGGTGGCTGCTGGCGGGTTTCCCCCCCCCGCGCTTTCAAACCCTAATTAAAAATCCAACTCGGAGGCAAGAAGTGCAGCCAAGGCGGGGACAGACTTAATCAGACACGCGGTCCCGCTTCAGGGCTAGGAGGAACACGCTCCCGCCCCCTCCTCCCTCGCCATGAGCTAGGCTGGCCGCTACGTTATAAAATAGTGGCGAGCTCTGCTGCTGAATTGGCTACTTAAAGCGAGAGTCCGGCTGGGAAAACTCTCGACAGATTTCCCCACATCTAGATGTTTTGTAGGGTACTTGTTTGTGCTCCTGCTGTGGCGCTAAAACAAACTTGTGATTGTAGTTTGTTCCCTCGTGCCTAAACCTTGCTTGGGTTTTCTAAATGAAATGCGTAGTGGCTAACATGCCTAGTTAAAAAAACACAACTTCTTTCATTCAGTGTCCTGGTTATATTAAACTCTCTTCTGTAGTGAGTTACCTGCTGTCTGCCATGTCTGGCTGCTGACTTGGCTTCTGCAGAAGGCCCTAATCCGGTTTCTACATCCCTGAGGAGAGCGTCTTGCTTGGAGTTGCTGATTTTCTAGATAAATCACCATCTCCTTTGCGTGCTTACCATGTGGCTTCCTAATGGTGGATTAACAAAGCAGTCTTAATTAGATTCTGCAGATCGACCTTTCCCTTACTACCCCAGTGAAAACTTTATCTGCAGACAAAGAATATCTGGTCTTAAAAAAAAAAAAAAAAAAAAAAAAAAAAAAAAAAAAAACCCAAACGGCAGCCTTATAATGTGCTTTCAACATTCTCCAACTTGGGGTGGATCTCCATAGTCACTTATGTTGTAGCCACCAGATGTCAGCACTGAATAGCAATTCCCTTCAGTGCTCTTCCCTGGGTCTAGTTGGCAAAGTAATTGGACAATGCATTTCAAAAATTGTGTTGCGCTTATGCTGACTGCATAAATTAGCCATTCCATAGGAAACATGGTCTAACTTGAAAGAAGTGGAAAAGCACTGACCTATCATTAAAGTGGTTGTAAACACTCACTGATCCATAAAAACTACCTCTTGGAAGTGTCCCCACTTCATAAAAGTCACTCAAGGTGACAGTGAGTTAATGGCAGAAACAAGACTGGAATTAAGCAATGCCAGGCTCTCAGGCCCATACCTCATGTGAACAAGTGCACCACATCTTGAGTGACAAAGTCTGTGTAGTGCCCATCTTTATCCACAATACAAACACAGTATCTGACTTTGCACCTGCACTATTCTGGTAGTCTCTTCCTCCACTCAGAGTTCCACTTGTGGCATGCAACTTCTACCAAGACAACAGGCTCCTCTGTTAAATGACCTTTCCTGAATACTGAACTGCCCCCTCCTAGGTGAATTTCAAATGTTGTCTAATCCAGTGAGGGAAGGGAAATTTGAAATCCTGAAGAGATCTCAAAGCTTTTCAGGGTAGAGGGGGGGGGGGAAAAAAATCAGAACACTTTTACAAAGGTAGAGTACTACAGAGTTCTCCTGGCTGTCAGATACAAAAAACAAAGGGTTGTGGTGTAGAGAACCTATAAATCAGTTATGCCTGCCCAAATTAGGAAGAACTGTCACTGCAGTCCTATTGCTGCTGCTTCATATTTAATTTGTGACTTGAGCTCCAGAAATCAATCCTTTTTATTAGGTCTCAGAGCAGTAGATGGGCCCAACCTGTGGGATATTAAAACTCTGAATTTTATTCCTGTGAATAACTTGGCCTTCTCCAGTCCATCTCTGCCAGGGTAGGCCAAGTACTGTTGGGTTCTGGCCAGCCAGTTGGTGGAACTGGTTTTCTCTTATCAAGAGGCCCTTATGCATAAATAGATATCTATGGGGTCCTATAGACATCTAGCATTCTGATAGCAGAAATAATCTAAACTAGAAGATATGGCGGGTTTAAAGACAATTCTCCAATATTGGGAAGAACAAACTGAGCAAAAAAGCCTCAATTAATGTGTCAATGTTGCGTGCTGCCTGAATAACTTCCCTTTTAGCATGGGCAAGTTACGTGCCAGAGATCAAAGCTGGTTTACCCCTTAAGCTGCCCTTGACCCACAAGATGAAGTTTACTGATTTAAGATTACTGAAGATGACGAGCAATGCTGTGTAGGCTTCTGTCTACTTGGGATTCCATCTAGTATGCTGGGACCCCATCCAATGTACTCTATGCTACCAGTGTGTTCTAGCTAGTTCCTACTCCTGCAAGTCTGAGGAGTGGGCAGTAAACCATTCTTGGAGCGCTCCTGATACAACTATGCAACCAGGAAGACTGCTCAATAGCTGGTCTCCTTGACATGTGGCTGCATGATGCTGCAGAACTATCTTTTCCTGTTCCTCAGTTTGTCATATTGGTATGTTGCCTGCTTTCTAAGAGCAGGGGGTTTCTTGTGCTGTAGTTGGAGGAAGAGGAGAATGTGTTTTATTGAGGATAGTGAGATACAGTACAGCGTGACCTGTTCAGTCTCTAAACTAATAGGGTGGAAAATGAGAAGGGCGTGACACTTACGTGGACTGTGAAGAGGGGGGGAGGTTACCCTCCTGAGTTCCAAAGCTGTATAGGGGTAGAAGGCTGTTCCTTGTATTGCTTGAGGGGGCTCTTGTGGTAACTGTGCCTTGCTGTAAGAGTGGATATGTCTGTACATGGCATAGGAACCTGGAATATGTCCATCTCCCCACTGGCTTTCTGACACTGTCACATTGCTTCATGGGCTGTCTGCTACTTTTCCTGGCCCCACACTTGGAAAAGATCCTCCCCTCTGATAGAGCCCATGACCATAGCAGCAGTGTTCTTGTTCCACATATGCAACTTGTCCTTTAGGATTGCACAGGATTTAGTTCAGTGACCTTAGTAGCCTATGATCATTTTAACTGGCTGATGTTGTCACATAGCTACTAATTTTTAGAACGGCTTCATTATTGGTCTATTCTTGCTGTGTAATACACTTCATAGGGCCCTAACAAATCTACAGCTGTGGTGGCAGGCAGGCATAGTGCAATCCCTCTCCAGCCTAGTTAGGGGAAAACTGCATTTGCAACTTCCATGGTCTAAAAATCGTGCTTGGCTTCTAATGAGGCATAACTCCCTGACTGCCTTAGTACAACTGAATGCTGCAGTGCAGGCTAGCAAAAGACTAGCAGAGTGGGCAAAGAACCTGGCTTTGCTTTGTATTCAGTGTTGAAGACAATTTCAGGGGTGATACAAGTCATAGCGAGTTGAAGAAACCTGTAAATCTTCTCAAATAAAGGGACACAACTTCAAGTTCAAGTGCACTAACCTGAATTCTTGCTAGAATAATGCTTTGATGTAGTCTACATTGAGCATGCATTGCAGTCTGGGTCTCATTGTCTTAAAATGCTGTAGGGACTCCTACAAACCTTGCTTTGCGACTCCTGGTGTCAAATGTGGACCCTCTGAATGCCTTATTCTAGAAGTGTGAGAGCCCTTCAAGTGTCTTACCTGGAGCCAAACATGCTTGGTGTTCAGCAGAGTCTGTCATAGAAGTAGTGGCTGTGGAGACTTTTCTTGCAGAGAACTCTAAGGCTGTGTCTACAT